CCAGCAATGCCATGAGGAGGAAATGGAAGCACCACCTCCTAAATTCAGTTTACTCTTGGGTCAGGAAGAAATGGAACCTTAGGTTATTGTAAGATGACTACTTTCTACGTCATCACTTTGTACTAACTTGTTCTTTCATTGTCCGGGCATTTGGTGGTCTCTTTTCTGGCTTCTTGAATAGTACACTTAGTATATTTGACTGTAATTCAGTTCTCATGTTTCACAGACATTTAAAGGCCATAAAAATTCCTCTGAGGAGCATGAGCCACATCGCATATCTGTTGTAACGTAAAAAACTCATCTTTTAAAAATTTATTGATTGATTGAGAGAGAGGGAGGGAGAGACACATGGATCTCCTTGTTCCACTCAACTTGTGTGTCAAACGCTGAGTCCTGTATATGTCTGCACTGGGGTCACACCTGCACCCCTTGCGTATTCAGACTACACTGCAACATGCTACATGGCGAGGGCCTCTCACTTTCACCCTTTTCTTTGCCGTTTATGGGAACTGCATGATCTGTCTCCTTGTTAACCCAAGAGTGACACAGCTGTTTTATTACATTTCAATTTCTAAGAAAATTAAAACCTTTGGCTATTGTTAAAATTATGACATGGTAGTTAGAAAAGGTGAATCGAGAATATGTTAGAGATGTGTTTTCCAAATTTCCCTGGCTTCATTGACCATCACGGTCTAAACAATACACGTCCATAAAATCTTTCTTCAGCAGGAAACTTATGAGTTCGGCGAAATGACAGCTCTGAATGAAGGCATTCTGACACCTGTGACATCCTTCAAGTCTTTCTGCAGATGAAAGAAAGGAGCTGTGATTGGCCTACGCCCATGGGCTCTCCCATGACTCCCATTCATTTGGTTCTGTGATTGGCCTATGCCCATGGGCTCCCCCATGACTCCCACTCATATGGTTCTGTGATTGCCCTACACCCATGGGCTCCCCCATGACTCCCACTCATAGGGTTACTTGCTAACATAAATTCTCTGATGATCAACAAGGGGTAAGTGCTAATGGAAGGTTTTTCTATGTTTCTTACACTCACCTGAGTTTCTCTACGTTGCACTCTGTGGTGTTGAACAGCACGTGGACCATGACTGAGAGCCTCCCACCTTCCTTACAGTCACAGGTTGTCTCCTGAGTATGAACCACCTGATGTTGAGTCAGCTGTGAGCAGTAGCTGAAGGCCTTCCTGCAGGCCTTACGTGGGTAAGGTCTCTCACCTGTATGGATTCTATGATGCACAGTCAGGTGCGAGACCCGTTTGAAAGCCCGACCACACACCTTACACGGGTATGGTTTCTCTCCAGTGTGAATTCTCTGGTGTTGTTTAAGTTGTGAGCTCACCCTAAACGCCTTCCCACAGGCCTTACATTCATAGGGCTTCTCACCGGTATGAATTCTCTGGTGTCGAATGAGAGTTGAGCCCTGATTGAAGGCCTTCCCACAGTCCTTGCACTCGTAGAGCTTCTTGCCAGTATGAAGAGTCTGGTGTTGAATCAACTGAGACCGATGGCTGAAGGTCTTTCCACATTCCCTGCACACGTAGGGTTTCTCACCTGTGTGAATTCTGCAATGTACTTTAAGATGTGAGATCCGATTGAACGCCTTCCCACACTCCTTACATTGATAGGGTTTCTCTCCAGTATGAATTCGTTGATGTTCGATCAACTGGGAGCTCCGACTGAAGGCCTTGGCACACTCCTTACATTCATAAGGTTTCTCGCCGGTATGAACTCTCTGGTGTTGTATGAAATTTGAACCAGAGTTGAAGGCCTTCCCACACTCCTTACACTCATAGGGTTTCTTGCCAGAGTGAATATTCTCATGTTGAACCAGTCGTGAGCCATATTTAAAGGCCTTCCCACACTGCTTACATTGATAGGGTTTCTCACTGGTGTGGATTCCTCGATGGTTAATAAGGAAGTCCTCTGGCCAAAAGTCTTCTCTACATTTGTTATATCCCCAGGGTCTGTCTCCAGTACGGATTTTCTCATAAAAAGCAAGGGACGCTTGTGGGTCCAAATGCGGCGTTTCTTCAGAATGCATTATAATTTGTCTCAGATGTCCATCTGGATTCCCCTGTTGTGTGTCAAACTGGCTTTTGCAGTCCCAGTCGTCCTGGAAACTCAAGCACTCGAGATCATACCTTGCAAAGCTTTCGGTTCTCTCCCACAGGGTTGGCTGTACTTCACAAACAGGCTGCTTTGGAGAGGACACCTTAGTATCACACCTGGATCCCGCGACTGAAAAGGACATGAGAGCAAGTATGCATCTGTTTTCTTCCTTTTGCAGAAAAAGGAACTTGGAGAGTAAAAACTGGAAGCTTAGACTCAAGATAATACCTATAAGCTCCTGAATGTGGCTAAGCCATGAGAAAATGGACAAATAGCACAGAGATAGAGGAACTACCATAAATAAGGACATCAGGGAGGTTATAAGAGTAGCCCTGGTAAACATCTCTATCTTTTTCCCTCCACCCTTCACTCAAGGACAGTTTCATTGACTTTAGAGAGAGGAGAAAGGAGAGAGAGACATTGGTGTGAGAAGGAAATACCAATAGGTTGCCTCCTGTACACACCCCGACTGGGGATCGAACCCACAACCTTGGTGTTATTGGGATGATGCTCTAACCAACTGAGCCACCTGGCCAGGACCAAGGCACAGTATTTTAAAGTTAATTATTTAGCATTAGTCGTCACTGTTTTGGACAACCAATGAAATAATGTCCAAAAATCTTATGCACAGTCTTAGCATTAAAATGTTTTGGTTTCCTCATATGGAATCTTGAGGGTATCCCAAATAGCCAAACAGTCTTGAGAAGGAAGCACAAAGTTGGAGGTCTCACACTTCCTGACTGCAAAACATAGGACAAAGCTATAGAAATTAAAATATGTGGTACTGGCATAAAGGCAGACACGTAGACCAATGGAACAAAACAGAGAGCCCAAAAAGAAACCTGCATGCATGTGGTCAGATGATCTTTGACAAAGATGCCAAGACCATACAAGGAAAGGACAGTCTTTTCCACAAATGGTGCTGAGGAACCTGGACGTCCACATGCAAAAGAATGAAGCAGGGCTCTTATCTCACAATAAATACAAAATTAACTCAAAATGGATTGAAGACCTAAACACAGGACCTAACATTCTAAAGCTCCTAGAAGAAAACATGGGGGAAAGCTTTGTGACATTGCATTTCCTGGACATGGAGTCACAAGTACAGGCAACAAAGGCAAAAACAGAAAAATGGGGACCACGCCAAACTTAAAAAATAACTGGGCATCAAAGGAAACAACAGAGAAAAGGTAACCTACAGAATGGAAGGAAACACTTGTAAATCCTGTATGTGGTAACAGGTTAATATCCAGATTATGTAAAGAACTCCTATGACTCAATGACAAAAACAACCTATCCCAATTAAAAAAATGGGCAAAGGACTTGAATATACATTTCCTCAAAGAAGTTGTACAAATGGTCAACAAACATACGGAAAGATGCTCAACATCACCCATCACTAGACAGATGCAAATCCAAACTATGAGACACTACCTCACAGCCATGAGGATGGCACTATTTAAAAAAAAACCAAAATGAAATGAAACGAAACAAAATAAAACGAGAGTTGGCATGGATGTGGAGCTCTTATGCACTGTTGGTGGGAATGTAAAACGGTGCCATCACTTTGGAAAACAGTATGGAGGTTCCTAAAAAAATTAAATATAGAACTACCAGTCCTGGTCAGGTAGCTGGCTCAGTAGGTTAGAGCATGGTGCTAATAGGCAAGGTTTCAGGTGTGATCCCTGGTCAGGGCATATACAAGACTCAACCAATGAACACATAAATAAGTGGGACAACAAATTGATGTTTCTCTCTTTCCCTTCCTCCCTCTCTTTAAACATCATAAATAAAAATTAAAATTTCAATACCATGTGACTGGTGTCTACTCCACTAGACAGCACAGACACAGAGCCTTCTAGGCCTCGCTATGGACTCAAGTTTCTCTTGAGATGGGAAGTCTTTGACAGGTTGTAATACACCCTTGCTGAAGAGGATGAGAGTAGGACAGAGGGACAGGGAGCAGGCTACTGCAACAGTCTAAGCCAAAGACGATGGGGGGGGTGCGGGTGATAGCGGTGGTGCTGTTTACAAGTGGTTAAATTTTGGGTACATTTAGAATTTGCTGGCAAACTAGATAAGTGCATGGAAGAGAAAAGTCAAGGACACGTCGAGTGTTTGACTGGAGCAGGTTGAAGGATCAGGTCCCCTGTTACCAAAGTGCAGTAGAATGGGGAAGGGTAGATTTTCAGGGCGGATCAGACTCCTTTTAGGGCTTTTGTTAAACTGGAAGTGCCTGGTGAACACCCTGGTGGCCAGAATGAGGTCGCTGGATATAGGGCGCTGGAGTGTGAAGGAGATGGGAAGGTGAAGGTAAGCATTTGTGTTGTCTGACGGAACTTTCTGCAACCATGGAGATGCTATGTATCTGTGGTGTCCCATACAGTGGCTGTGAATCAGAAAGTGCCTCCTGAGCATTTAAAATGTGGCTACTGCAACTGAGGTACTGAAGTTTTAAATGTATTTCATTGTCATTCACTTAAATTTCAATGCCTGCATGGTATCAATGGCGCCACACTGGACAGCCCGGGTATGGATGGTATTGGGCATGGTAACGGAGAAGGTCCTGGGGAATGGAAATAAACAGAATAAACAGGAAGGAAGAGGCCCAAGTCTGAGCCTGAGATCTGGGGAAGGTGAGACGATCCAGCACAGGAGGCTGAGGGTGGTTTCACGAGGCAGGCGAAACGAGAGGTAGTAGGGACCAAAATATACAGAAACGCTTCAGGAGGGAAACTACTTTTGTCAAATGCTGCTGACAAGCCACAGAAGTTGAGAACTGTGACCTGAGCTCTGAGTCTGGCAACTTGGAGGAACAATTTACTACCTCCGAGGGCCTGCTTTATCACCGACCAGTGGGACAGTTATGGGCAGTGGCTTTCCTCTTCACCCACGTGCCTTACTCACCTGGGCACAGGCCTCCCGTCGCTGCCTCCTCCACCCTCCAGGGCACTTTGCCTTGCTCCAAGAAGGAGATCACATCAGGTTTGGAAATGGCAAGATCTGGATGCAGGAAAAAACATGACACCTGGTTATGGTGAGGGGCCCAGAGTTCAGATCCAGGACCTGGTTATCGAGGATGAAAGGCCATGGCAGGAAGAGACAGGGGAAGACATGACAGTCACTTGATGGCTGGGGACAAAGTAGATTCAGCCCATGGAGCTGCCCTCTAACCACTCAAATGGCATTGGGAAATTGAAAAGGAAGGAGCAGCTATGCCGAAGACCAGGTGCCCTTACCCAGTGAGAGCAGGTTGCTGTAGGTCTCCAACATAACGTCTCTGTACAGGTCCCTCTGAGAAGGCGCCAGCCACTCCCACTCTTCTTGGGAGAAGACTATGGCCACATCCCTGAATAGGTCTGACCCCTGCAACAACAGCCAGTTGTATTACATGTGTACATCACGGAAATGTCTCTCGGGGGATAAGACGACATGGAGGAGGTCTTTGCAGCAATGGGATGTTCTGGTGGAAACGGAGGCTGTGGCAGGCCTTGGAAGTGAGCGGATGACAGGAGCACATGGGTGTGAGTCAAATGTTCTTGAACGTTCCTTTTTACTACAAACCAAAGCTCTGGTACACAGGTCTGGGATGAAAGTTAAAATCCAGCTAAATGGAGTTTTCCCAGTTGTGACTTACTCTGACCTTGGCACATGCTAAATTCTCCATGTGACACCTGAATTTCTACTTCTACGGAATAAAAGAAAAATAAACCCAAACCAACAATTTTTGACAGATGAAGGCAATGGGAGAGGGCACTAGCTACCTGGTCCTTTTTCTCCTGAAAATAGGAAGCTCTGAGAACCGAATTCTCGGATAGAGATCAGGTGGGAAGGAAGCTTCAGGATAAGGAAAGAAAGTATTCACGTAATTTAAAAACTCACGAAGGACATGACTTTTAGAATTTCATGGGCTGGGGGGTCCTCCTCTTGACTCGTCTTCGGGAAGGGCCCAGTCCAGAGATGGCAGAGCTGGGGGAAGAAATAGCAAACATGAGTGACCAGGCCTGCCTCGCAGCTCCCATAACGCCATGGTTACAAGTCCCCATCCCATTAACTCCCACCTACCAACAAATCAGAGGGAGTTGGAACAAACTTTAGTCCCCACCCAACTCCAAGAAGCCCAGCTTTAGCTGCTACAAGGACACAGGGAACCGGTGGCTCTCTCCCATTTTCCCTAAATACACAGAGAGTTCCACCTTGTCACTGATGCAAATCTGAGATGGGATGCTCAGTCCAGTGACTGAGGCCACATGGTGTCCCAAGGACAAGGAAGGCTGTCTTCAGGAAACACACAGAGCCTGCCTGACTCCGATCAGCCCAGCCAAGAATAAAGTTTTCCCAGAACCAGACCATTCAATTCTCTCATGCCCACATTGGAACACCTTCAGAAGTCTCCCTGGCACTTTCCCCAACTTCCAAACTCACAAAGAGCCCACAGCCCTCCTTAAGGCCCAGTGGACACCACTTTGTGGACCTTACCTCGAGTCAACAAATGAAATGTGGTTGCAGAGGGTAAATTAGATGGAGCAGGTCCCGTGTTCCTTTATCAGCACAAAAATAGGCCCCTGCACAGACATAACAGTGTGCAAAGCTGTGAGCGCAATAACATTTGCTGGAAAACAGAACCAAATATTAGTACATAACAGCCCACAAGTAGGCAAGGCGCAGTGAATTTGGGCCCAGCCAGATGAAGATCGCCAGCTGACAATGAATGACACTCACAACTGGACCCTTTGTACGTCATCAGAATGTTCAGCAAAAGAAGTCAGACCCACCCACCTAGGGACACATGGAGGAAAAGAAAAACCTAAAAAAACCTGGAAAACATCCAAGTGTTAAGAGTGATGTCATTTAACCACTTCTTGAGCTGTTTACACAGTAGTTTAGGGAAGTTCCCGACAGGTGACAAATATTTATTTACTTATCTATTTCCAAATATTTAATTGTAACTAATGTGTGAGATCATTATGAATGTTCCTTGACCTCGTGCAACGGGAATTTTCCTTCCTATGAATACTGATTTTGCATGAGTGGCTCAGGATTTCTGCAACCCTTTCCCCACTGATGGGCACAGATTTCGAACAAAATCATCTAAAATGTCCCAAGTTTAAGTCTCTGGTTTTAAATCTTTTGGGGCCTTGCAACTCTTCATAAATTTCATGGAACAAGGCTTTGCCCCAGATAAAACAAAAAACAAAACAAAACAAAACAGCAGGGTGAGAATGAATGCAAAGCACCCGCAGGCATTTTCAGGGAACCGGGACCCTCTCCTCACCCACCTATGGGGTCCGCGGACCCGGCTTATGAGCCGTGACGCGGCCAGGGGGCGCCAGTGCGGCGAACGCCGCGGGGGCCGATGGGAAATGTAGTCCAGAGCCCGGGAAGCCGCAGACTGACGCTAGGGCGGGTCGTTCCGGTTCTTCCTAGGCCCGGGGCCCGCCCCGCCGCGGAGCCCGCTCTCGCACGTATCCCGGAGCTCCCAGAAAGCTCCGGAGCCCCTCACCTGCCGCCTCCTCGGGTGCAGGTGCCCCTGCGGCGGCACTCTCCGCCGCAGCCCGGGCGAACTTCCTCCTCAGTAGCGGCGGACTCAGCGCCTGGAGCCGGAAGATGGCGCAGACTCACAAAGCCTCGCCGATGCTGCGTCGCGATTGGGCCAGCGCCGCAGTAGCTTCTGGGAAACGTATTCTCTAGGTTGTAAAGGCCGTAGCTGAGCTGTAAGGCCAGATATCGCGGTGTTTCGCGCGGGCGGGACCTGCGTGCGTGCGTGCGCGCCGTCGGGGGACCCGGCGGAGCGTGTTGTTCTGCCGCGAGGGCTGCAGTGCGCCGTCGTCTGTCTGGTCGCGGCTGTGNTGCGTGCGTGCGTGCGCGCCGTCGGGGGACCCGGCGGAGCGTGTTGTTCTGCCGCGAGGGCTGCAGTGCGCCGTCGTCTGTCTGGTCGCGGCCGTGACACGAGCGTGTGCGGTGCCTCTTGGGACGGTGTGTGTCGTGTTTGGTTCTGACGCGGTCGTTGGTTGGGGCCGTTCAACGCTTGCGTGTGACTGTGGAAAAAAGGGTTTCATGCGTTAAATCCCAAATCGCCCTTTCCGTGGAGAAGGCTTGGAGGGAGGAAGAAGCCCAAGGGCTTACCTGAAAGCCCGTTTTAAACATTATACCTACGTCGAAATGTCGGTTGTGAGTGGGAATGCAAAGTCGGCAAAATGCTTTAAGCGAGACAGGAAGTGTCCTGTTTCGGGGCGACATCTAGGCCAGGTCCCCTACTGCCACCGGCAGTTGAGCCTCCGTGTGAGGAAGCGCGGGGAGCCCTGCTCGTCGCACGTCCCGAGGCAGCGCGGTCCCCGGTGGCCGGCGGCCCCGTGGCCTGGACGCGGGTCAGGGCCTGGCCTCTGGAGGAGGAAACCCTCCCTGTCCTGGGGCCGCGTCCGGAGCCCCCTGGGAGACAGGCCAGGATGCGTTCGCGCGTGAAAACCGGGAAACGCTTAGCCTACATCGGGGGAGGCCCTGCTGCCCACGACGGCGGCGCGCTCGCGACAAACTTGCCGTCCCTCCCTCAACAAAAGCTAGGTAACGTGTAAGAAACCAGCCGTTTCCCTGTCGCTCCGTCACCACGGCTGTTGCCTTTGTAAGTCGTCCAGTTTTCACGTACTTATCTAATCATTCTACTTGCAGCCCTAATGTGTATGTCCACACTTTACTACCGTAAACAATGCTCCAGTGCGTATCTTTGTGAATGTATTTGCATTTTTAAAAGGCCCTCACTTATAAAAATTCCCAGCTCATGCTTTTTGTCTTGGTGACTTTGGAAAGGGACAAGTTATGTTAACGCACTAAGTGCGTCAATTTTGGAAGAGTTGAGCCATGAGTTGGGAGATGGAACTAGAGACAGGAGTTTATAAAATACTGTCAAAGACAGAGGTTCGTGAGAAAAGGTTACTGAAAGAATGAAGAACTGAAAGGAGGAGCTGTAAACTGTTTCTCTGTAACACGTACCCTCCCGGTCTCTTCTCCGCGGCATTTCTCCCGCATCAGAGCGTCGGCTACGTGAGGAGCAGGAGGAGGGGCAGCTCCGCGCGCTCACGGACGTGTCCCCAGCGCCCGCGACAGCGCCGGGCACACAGGTGCTCAGTAAATGGCTACGGAGACGGAGGGGAGAAGAAATTAGAGGAAGAAAGCAGCCCTGGAGCCTGAGCCTCTCGCTCGCGCTGGGCCCGGAGCCCACGGGCGCGCCCGAGCTCCCCCACCGCGCACGCGCGCCCC